TTTTGACACTTGTTCGGGATGAAACGCATATGTGTTACCCCATATACTTAGTTCTCGAACCAGGGACTGCGTGTTTCATTTCACTCTCAGTGGAATGGTGATGGACTCCTGCTTTTCTCCCTAGGTATTCTTGTACATTATATGTTCTTTATTTATTACCATATATATTTTTAATTTTCCTTTTTTGTGTATGTTTATGTTTGCTTCCTTGATAACCATGATCATTTTTGTTCATGATTAAGAGGACCCAATCAATTGGGTGGCCACCCATATGTTCAGGTGTTTTTCATTATTGTTTCTTTTAATGATATATAAGGGATTGGGTGAGGTTCCTCTTTACATCCTCTGCTTCGCCGAAACGTTAGGGGCATTTACTTGGTTATCCTCATCTTCTCACTAGCATTTTTTATATTATTGTGTTTTTCCATGATTTATGGCACGTGACATAATAACAGTTAATGCTTTATGCATAATAGTTATTGTTATTTTGTTTGTCACTTTCATGTATATCATTTCCTTACATTGAGATATAAACTATCCATACTTATTAATATTGTTTTGTACTGTATATTGCACTAGCACCACATTGTTAAAAGTGCCTTTTGATGCCTTTCATAGTTACAAGTGTTTTTGGTTTACATAATAAAGTTGATTAATTTAGTTATATTGGTTGTGCTCCTCATTCTATTACACATGTATTTTGTTTATTGGTTCTATGGGGAATAGGACCTTTTGAGTGAGCACCCAGATATTACATTTGTTTTGTTACATTTTTTTCACGGATTTATTCTGTGGTCCTACTAGCTTAGTGTGTCTGCCTTTCTAATCTCATTTTTATTGGATCTGAAAGTCCCACAGAATCTTAGCCCTGTCATTCTCTACTACCTATTGTGGTATCTCCCATCTGGACTTAGGCAGGCCCAGCATATATATTCTGTATAGATGTTTTGGTACACAATTTAGCAACTTGGTTGTGCCTCTCCGTGTATGCTGTTCCTGGACACAAAGTGAGAACCTTTATAAATAAATATATATTCAATGTTAAACTGCTTCACAATTTAATGAAGATGCAATACCAGAGGACTCTGGGCATTGTAATAAATTTAATAAGATGAAATGTTATAATTTTTGTTATATTGTCTCTTTAAGCATTTTTTTATAGACATGTAAAGAAAAGTGAATTTCAATGTGGTATAACTTTCGTCCTGCCCAGTTATGTATCTATCTGGTATCTTTCAAACTACTGTGGATTTTGTCATTTAATGTCCTGTGCCAGATGGTTTTTGATCTTTGTACTTTTAAATTTTTACATTTATCCAAACATCAAAATACATGTGTTGTTGTTTATATTTAGCTGACAACTAAAACGAATTATTAATTTAGTATAAAGGAAACCTAAGCACAAGAGAGTAAAATGGTTTTAATTTCCCATTTCTAATAAAAAATAACTATAATTGCAATAAATTCTATTCTAACATGTGCATCAAACTCTTAAGAGCCGACAGCTGGATAATAAATGTATTGGCTCATACACAATTATTGGCGGATTGTGCAATAACAAAATCTTTTGTTGAATGTATTCAAAACATGAAAAGGCTTGGTTTCAAATTGGCACATATAACCGGATTCATTTATTTTTACTTTGAGAAGAAATAGAAAGACATAGTGGTTTATTCACTAAGCTGTAAACCGTTAAAAAGTGGTTTTCAGATTTTATGTTGGAGAGTTTTCCAAGTTGTTATTTTCAACGGGGAAAACTCACCACAGCTTATTGTTTGGCATTGTTGTAGGAACCAAAGAAAATCTGCAGGGGTAGCCTTTCGCAATAATCCCAGCCTGATCTAGAGGCAAATATCAAACCACACAATTTTCTATGGTCAAAATGACTGGGAAGAAATCTTACTCCTCTCATCACCACACTAGTTTTTCTTGGGTGAATTCGTCCTCCCATCATCAAACCAGTTTGTCCATTTTCACTTCATGCTTATGACTATGCATGTCTAATAAATGTCAGGCAAAATTGTTTACAAATAAATATAAACTAGATATCACTAGAAAAAAAAAGGGGCATTGACACTGCAATTTTGATGTAGCAATTTTGGCTTGACTACATTGGATGTAGGTTTTTAAAAAGTGAGAAATGATCTATTACTTAGAAGAGTTAATGTTGGGATTCGAGATGGGCTTAGGAGCAAGGTCAATAGGTTTGAAGGTATGGATTGAGAGTTAGGAATCTGGGTTAGAAATATTAGGGTAAAGGTTATAGGTTATGATATTAGTTATCACACCACCTAACTGTCTTAATTCTAGATTATACTAGACTGACTAACTATGGAATCTTCAGATGACTAGCCTACCTACTCATCTGAGATGAGATCACGAAATGTAATTGCCAAGGTTTATTTTTTATTAAAACAATTTTGTTTTTGCATTGTAAAGCCCTATGAGTGTGCCAGTTTTTATTATATATATATATATATATATATATATATATATATATATATATATTTAGACATAATATGCTATTGCTATATATACACACTTTCAAGCAAGGATGCTCATCATGCATCCACTAAGTTAAAGAGTATTTGGAACATGTCAGAAACATGTGAGGAAGTCAGGAGTTAATCAGAAGTCATAAGCAGGCATACATTTATTTATAGTGGTGACATTTCTCATGTTTGACTATAGTGGGACAAATCTTTTTGCTGTTTTGTAACTTCTATTTCCATGATAAACACGTTTCATTTATTTTGCTAAACAATGGTTACACCTGCATGCTATCTAAAGCACACACCTTGAACATAACGTGACCTCCCAGGACAGATTTGTATACCTTCATTCTAGACAGAATAAGGGAGTTATTAGGCTGTGTTTGTACAAAGTCTTATCCGACAACAGTTTTGGCTCTGTCTCAAAACCAATGTTGATATACTGATATTGATATTTCTCCCCCAAGTTTAATTTGCACAATTTTATTTTAGAAACAAATGTCCTTTAAGTGAACTTTGGAACTGATATGTGGCACCAGGTGAGGGATCTCAATGTAATTCTATTTGTATTGCTTTGTAAGTCCAGTTAGTGCTTAACCAGATAAACCTATTGATTTCGCTGTAATTCTCCATCCCGTTCTAATTTTAGGTATTTAGTTTAAGAGCTTCATTATTCGCCCATGTTGTGTTTTTTCACCATACAGAGGAAGTATAAATGCAACTGCATATTTTCTTAACCCGCATACTTAGCACAGAGTAGTTAGATAAGAGTAGATATTGGTTGGCACATTTACATTTATTTATTTTGAGATATGTTATCGAGAATTTACATATCTTAGTCTGCAATTTGCGTAAAATAATTCCTTATTTATTTATTTATTAAACTCTATTAGTGAGGGAGTTGGATTTTGCTTATATTATATTTACCTAAACTAAGCCAATTTCATTTTTAAATGTATGTCTGTATTTTCCAGAAAAGCTGTTAATCATTTTATAATTCTAACAGGACAGTCCACTAAATTTAATTTTTAAGAAGTAAATACAAATGGAAAAATTGATGCAACAATAGCTGATCTAGAGAAATTCACAGTCATAGGCACAAATCCATTCTTCTATTTGTTTTGAATATTTTTATTTTTAGCATATAATAACGCGGATATCAAACTTGTTTTTAGCAAAGCAGGTAGTCGCCCACGCAGGGGCATAAACATCAGTACATGGAGATGGGTGCATGGTGTCGCATGCGCAGAAGCGAATTGATCAGATCATGGGTATTATTACAGACAGACTTATTTTTGGTTGCGTATATTTCAAAACATTATGACTTGTTATGTACAGTTATTATGATTCATATGTTTTTGAATTTTCATGCATTTTGCAGAGTACTTTTAGCTCAGGTGGGAAATGTGGCATCTCACTAGCGTGTTATAACATATTCAAACCTGGGCTGCATTGGCAATATATTAAATGGAACCTGTTTCTAAGCTGTTGGCATTATAACTGTGCCGCTGCTATTGGTTATGCATTTAAACTTGTGCTTTATCCTACTCTGTGCTCGGTCACGTAGCAATAAAAATCATGGACTGAAACATAGTTAATGCGTTATTTAGGGTATATAGTAAGAAAAAAGGTTATGCGTCTCTTCATCCACCTTATGTGCCCGTATAGCAACAAAACAACTAGAAATGCAGGGCTTAAGATTGTAATGGTGTAAACTGCAAAAGTATAATGAGATGGCATGAGCAATTAGGATCTGGTATGAACTCAACAGTTATATGTACACAACATGCATATTATTGGACAGCTGTGAAACCGTTGATTTCTGGCTTAAAATAACAGGGAATAACTTGAACCATATCCTCTGGGGATAGAAAAAAAAAAGGAAAGAAAGAAAGAAAGAAATAAAGAAAAGGTGAGTCACTTCGCTGGAGGTGGTGTTTTATCTCCCGGTGTGTGAACCTGTCTGGCTTGGCTTTGTCAGCTTCCCGGGCAGCATCCATATAGGCTTCCCTCTGACATAACTGCTGTACAGGATTAGTGATTAGATGATGGGCAGGTAATCCACAACTGAGTCCTCCCGGCACCCCCATCGTGGCAAACCCCCCTCAGTTCACCCCCAAGGCGTGCTCCTGTCTGTCAGCGGGAGGCTCCACTGCACCGTGGGCACTCGGGGACAGTGGCAGTCCAGCAGTCTCCCCCCTGAAAGTCCGCGGATCACCTGCCCCCTGCACCTCCCCAGCTCTTGCAAAACCTCATTGGAGCTCCAGCCCCACTGCGCCTTGCCTCTCTCCGGTCTCATGCATGGCGCTGGCGCGTGCCTCCCCAGCCACTGGTCCGCCGGGGGGCCCGCATGCCCCAGCTCCACAGGGCTCACAGAGCTAGGGGCCCTTTCCCCTGGACCCACCACCAAATCCAGGGGTCAGGGCTGGCTCCCCGCCTACCAGTTTGCCGCCCAGCGGGATCCATCCGCGCGGTCCTTCAACCCTGGGGGCCTAGGTGTCTCAGCACGGTCCCCTTCAGCATGTGTGTTGGCCATCTTGTCCCTATGTGGGAAGGGGCCTTGTGCCGTGTGGGTCTCCTTCTCCAGTCTCTGAAAGTCGGATTCATAGGCCAGGATCATCCCCACCGGCAAGGAGGGGGAGCGGGGCTGGGACGATATCCTCGTCTCTCCGGCTGTCATCTCGTTCCGCTGCCTCCGCTTACCATGCGGGTGTATGGGCCTCGTGGGTTTGCCATGCTCCGGGTATGCTGCTGGTGCGGCGTTTGACACACCGCCGTGCTCCTAGGTATTTCCCCATCAGTTGGCCAGTTGTGCCCCTGGCTTTTGGTGGGGTCTCATGTCAGCTTTTTAAGGTTTTTTGGTGGCTCAGAGCCGGAGCTGGCATGAATGGCTGCTGCTCAGCTTCTTCTATTTGGATATGATTTATGAAAATTATGAGTTTAGTGAAACATGAAAGTATTCACACAATCTTCTAAATGAACATCAAGTGTGGACTACAAAATAGAAGCCTATATTCTATAAACCAGGGAGTGGAAGAGGGCAATAGGTGCATTGTAGGGCTTCTTGTTGATTTCAGTTGCAGTCTGCAAAATCATCTAAAGTTACAGATGCCTGGTTTTAGCCAGGAAACTGTGCTTCCTTGATGTGAGCATTAAAACTACATAAAGAAATTATTTTTAACACAATGGGAACTTTTTAGAAGAGCTGCACATCCCGAAATATCAGCAAGTTCCTTATAAATGCACCTAAAGGTATTTATCAGGATATTTGGTCATTTATTTCTATCTATCCTTATTTACAAAGACATTTCTGAAATGTTTATATACTAAAATGTAGTTAGACCATGTCGGAACTCCAGTCAGACAAGATGTTATTTAAAATATCTAAAACTTTTCAACTCCTGAATATTTTTATAAAAGAGAGAAGTAAAAAGTAAATTCTTTAAAATTACTTAATTATATACAATTTAAGTATCTCTGAAAATAAATCTTAATATAACATTGCTAATTTGTCCTATACATTTGTGTTAGCTATTTATCTCATGTTGTAAATTAATTTAGTTCTATTATTTTAATTAAATAATTTTGTAATAAAAATACTCAGATAATAAAAATGGCAATTTTTATTTTTTATTTTATCAAGACTTAACAACTAGCAATATGCTTTTTAATGTTATTTTATTGTTTTATTTTTTTTAAATGGATGTAGATTTTCTTTTTAAAGGTACTGTGGTGAAATACCTACATGAAAATAAATATTTAAAAAAAAGCAAAATTGTAACCAGTTATTTACCATTAGAATAATAAGTTCTATTATAATAAAGCATATTATTTGTCTAGTACATTTGTATGTAGGCCAGCTGCTTTAACATTTTAGCTTTTATTGCTTGAATAAATTCGAAGGACGGTGATTTTTTTTTATAGCTGGGTAATTATAGTTTGAGGTCATAAAGATGTCAGGATAAGTGGAATTTTTAGCTTTGGGACACATATATTAATTCACAGAGGCTCTCAGAGCTAAAGCCCTAGACCAGTAATGGCTAACCTTAACACCGTAAATTGTTTCTTGACTAAAAGCTAGCTGAGCATCATGGGAAATGTAGTCCAGAAACAATTTATGGTGTCAAGGTTAGCCATCACTGCCCAAGACGAAGGACTCTTTCGCCCCGAATCTCTACAGCTGGTGGAGGAGGCTGGGGGATATTAGTATTTTTTCTCATTATTAATTTTATTTCAGACAACTATTTCTTAAATCAGCCACCTATTATAAAAACAAATATTAGTAATATAGTGTTCTGCATGTGACTTCTGGGGCCTGGGGAACATAACTGTTTTGCTACACACCCCTCTATTAAGTATTGTGGTGGCATCACATCCAATACGTGGATGTCAAGCATGTGCTTGATTCTTGTTATGCTTGCAGATTCTAGAGAACATCAGCAGTACGCTGCTCATACGTAGAGAGTAGACTTGTAGAAAAGTATGTTTAAGCCGAATTCACCCAAGTAAAACATTTTTGATCCACAAGCAATAAAGAAGATGTCTAATATCCCCTCAATAGGAAATATTCCCAGCAGGGGTGGTCAGCTCTGAGCATGGACCCTACAAGCTAGATATAGAAAAGAAAATATGGTTCACCCTATGGAAATTCCTCATGGGTACTGGTAAATAGAAGGCTGATTTGGTGAGTGTAATATATTAAAACATGGATAAACCAACAGGCTTTATTATTATTGCCTAAAATGCATTAACCAAAGGTAGTCCTGTCAATACAGGTTATTTATTTATTATTTGCAGTTAGGAGACTCTGAATTTTCAAATGTAAAAAAGTGCATTGGTCTTAAGGAAATAGATATCTAAATACATTATGGAAAAAATTAGCCTAGACAATCGCAATCCAATTATCGATCTTGGTACTGTGAGGTAGGTAGGGAGAGATAAACTAAGCTGTTAATTAGCCTGAGAACATTAGGGGCTGTGTGGTCCAAGTTGGAATCCTGGTACCATAAAATTGAATTCTATTAGATAGTAATGTGCAGTGGGGTGAGGGAGACATCCAGCATCAGAAGCTTATCTATTTACTAGTACCCATGAGGAATTTCCATAGGGTGAACTTCCGTAGTATCTTTTCTATTTTTGATCCACACCTGAACAAATCAGTTTGGCTGAGATTTACCTCTAGAGTCTTGGTCAATGAATAATGCTCCACAGGTAAATCCTGGGGGAAAGGATTTTGATTGGGATAAATACTTTGCACAAGTCTAGTAGAGAGGAGGGGAAATAGGACAGAAAGGCCACATCCCATCTCTCAGTTAGGGCAAGTCATTTTTTTTTTGTTAGGAAGGAGTTAAGCCCCAGATGTTTGTGGAACCTAGCAGCACCTATGTGTAAAATTATTTAGCTAACTAAATTATTTGATTAAATTACATTTGATGGTGCATTTTTTTCTCATTGTGGAAATACCTGACACAAAAAGTTAATCGTTAATGGCTTTTGCTTTTTAAATGCTTCACATAATTCTGAGCTAGTCATGGCCAAACTGAGAGAAATTCCCTACTTTGATTTATATCTGTCCCCGCTGCACTTAGAAAGCAGAGTTAAAAAAGCAACAATATAGATCTATACGATTAATTTGTGAAATATGTGTAGACTAACTATTAATGAGACGTTTATAGTCCAGTGACTTTTCTCTTTCACAATACACAAAAGAAAACAAGGTTTCCTTTGACCAGTTACGGAAATTTAATTTAAATAATGGTATAGTCAAAAATAAAATCAGACATAATCAAGTTGAATGAATAGGTCAGGAAATTAGATCATCGAAAGTCCACTGACTGCATTGCAATGGAAAGCCAGGTTCCATTAGGGTGATTTTAAAGATAGCTGTAATATTCCAGAAATTTTTTAATATTCTGTTTACTTATTGCTATATTTAACAAATATTTCTTTGGCATGTGTAACATAGTTACATAGTTACATAGCTGAAAAGAGACTTGCGTCCATTGAGTTCAGCCTTCCTCACATATGTTTTTGCTGTTGATCCAAAAGAAGGCAAAAAACCTAGTCTGTAGCGCTTCCAATTTTGCAACAAACTAGGAAAAAATTCCTTCTTGACCCCAAAATAGCAGTCAGATGCCTCCTTGGATCAAGCAGCTATTACCCCACTAATTAAAAATGATATCCCTGTATGTTATGTTTTTGGAAATATTTATCCAATTTCAGTTTCAACATCTGTATGGACCCTGATAAAACCACCTCTTCAGGCAGAGAATTCCATATCCTTATTACTCTTACTGTAAAAAAAACCTTTTCTTTGCCTTAGATGAAATCTCCTGTCTTCCAGCCTAAATGCGTGACCTCATGTCCTATGTATAGCCCTGTTTATGAATAGATTTACAGATAATGGTTTGATACTGACCCCGAATATATTTGTATAATGTTATCATATCCCCTCTGAGGCGCTATTTTTCCAAACTAAAGAGATTTGAATTTTTTAACCTTTTTTTGTAACTAAAATGCTCCATTCCTTTTATCAATGTTGTAGCTCGTCTCTGCACTTTTTCTAGTGCCATGATATCCTTCTTTAAAACAGGTGCCCAAAATTGCACAGCATATTCAAGGTGTGGTCTTACCAGCGATTTATAAAGAGGCAAAATTATATTTTCATCCCGAGAATTTATGCCCCTATTTATACATGACAAAACCTTACTGGCCTTAGCAACGCAGATTGACATTGCATATTGCTGCCTAATTTGTTGTCTATAACAATTCCCAAATCCTTCTCATGTGTGGTTATCCCTAATTCACTAACATTTAGGGTGTAAGTTGCTTGTGCATTTTTGACCCCCAAGTGCATAACTTTGCATTTTTCAACATTAAATTGCATCTGTCATTTTAGTGCCCAATCCCCCAATCTATCCAAATCCCTCTGCAGCAAAGCAATATCCTGCTCACATTTTATTACTATACAGTTTTGTGTCATCTGCAAACACCGAAACATGGCTTTCAAGGCCCACTTCAAGATCATTTATAAATATGTAAAAAAGAAGTGGTACTAAAACAGAACCCTGAGGGACACCACTTACCACTTTTGTCCAGCCTGAAAATTTACCATTAATGACAAGTCGTTGTACTCTAACCTTAAGCCAATGTTCTACCCAAGAAAAAAAAATAATCATCTAGACCAATTTATTTTAGTTTGAAGACTAACCTTTTGTGAGGAACTGTATGAAATGCCTTGGCAAAATCCAAGTAGATCACATCCACTGCAACACCCTGGTCTATACTTCTACTTACTTCTTCGAAGAATGCAATTAGGTTAGTTTGACATGACCTATGTTTCATAAAACCATGCTGATTATTGATAATAACAAAGTTCTTCCCAATGAATTCCTGAAAATTATCGCTTAATAGCCCTTCAAATATTTTCCCAGTCACAGAAGTTAAACTCACAGGTTTATAATTTCCAGGCAAGGATTTTGAACCCTTTTTAAATATAGGAATGACATCTGCCTTCCCCCAGTCGTCCGGTACAATACCTGAAACAAAAGAATCTTGAAAAATTAAATACAGTGGTTCACTTATTTCCCTACTTAGCTCTTTAAGTACTCGTGGATGAATACCATTAGGCCCCGGAGCTTTATTTACATTAATTATCTCTAACAGCTGTAGCACCTTGTC